TAATACAATTTGAATATTTATCTTCTAAATCAAGGTATGATAATTTGTACAACTTTGCATTATCTACTCAATCAAGCAAAAATTTTTGGATTTACGTAAAACATCCACAAGTAGCGCTAGGAGATATAGCTAACCTTACTCCCGAAAGAAATGTTATTTTTAATAATACAGAAGAAACTTTTGTTCGTCCTTTTATTCATATCATGGTAACACCTAAATACGGAGAAGCTTTTGTTCAAAATTCAAAAAGCAGTCCGCTTGTTCCAGATACACGCGATGCTAATATTTTAGGTGTCGATTTAGATGTCTATGTTAATAACTTATTACCTAGCTCAGAAAGTGTAAAAACATCTAAAATGAAACACATTGTTGCTTGGCAAATTGCCTCTTTTTAATAAAAATAATGACTAACACAAACACAATAAAATCTGAGGGTAACATATATAATATAGAAATTGATCTTAATGAAATTCCAATCTAAATAAACGCTTTATGGAAAACTTGGAACGATCAAGTTATCGTTGAAGACGCTAACAACAATATACAGAAGAAAAAATAACACTGACTAGTTTTGTAGACATTTTAAAAAACGCTTTAGGTACTTTTAGTACAAAACTTCTCTACATCTCTCCATCGGCTTTAGGTATAAAACCTACAGAATTGTTTGCTTGCTTTTATCAAATCTTTTTTCCAAAAACAAGTCAAAGAAAATATTATCGATTTACTTTACAAAACATACCGCAAGCTTCTTTACCTATACCTTTTTTTAACGTCGACCAAATCATATGGCCCGAACGTAAATTAAAAATGATGGATATTTATACAGAAAGTATAAACTACAACTTGCCAAACAATTTACTTAATTTAAAGTTAAATAATCTTACTTTTGACTAATTTATTTATGAAGGTACTTATATCTACTCTTATCAAAAATTCCTCAATCAATACAATTTTTCATCCATTCCTAACGACTCATAAAAATTATTATACTTTTTGGTGTTTACCTTCATTTGAACGAAATACATACGAAATCAATTTAAAATCACCATTACAAATTTCTAAAGCTATAATCGCTTCAACAAATACATATAACAATTATTTTGAAATGAAAGGAAACCAAATTTCACCGTATCATACTCAATTTGGTTCACTCAACACGTTTACTACATCTCCCTTTAATTTACCCAAAGACATTTATAAAATCATAACGGCAGATTGGACATTGATTGCTAAATACAATTCAGAAACATTTATCGAAGTTTTGATTTATTGCGAACAAACTAAATCTATTTTTTCTCCAACTTTAAAAGTACCTCTTCCCTATGCGCGCATCACTAGTGATTTAGTACTGCTCAACGGTGATTAAGTGGTGATCACTAGTGATCGTCATTCAATCACCACTCTATCACTACTAACACATAACTTATTTATACGCAAGAATCAATATGTTTTTATGTAAGCGGTGATTTAATGCGTATTAAGTAGTGACGGTTTAGTAATATATATCAAAACACGAAAATAGTTCTCAATAAAAAATGGCCGATAACAAGCGTAAGCACTATATGAAAAGCTACATGAGAGATTATAGAAGTTTTAAAAAGTTGTTCAATGAAGAAAAAGAGGGTAAAGAAGATGACAAAGAAGAAGGTAAAGAAGATGATGAAGAAGACGAAGGAGGGAAAGAAGATGACGAAGAAGAAGAAGGGAAAGAAGACGGAGAAGAAGTAGGTAAAGAAGACGACGACGACGAAGAATGTAAAGAAGACGACGAAGAAGAAACTAATGAAAACGAAAGAACTAATGAAAGGAGAATACCTTAAAAAATTTGTTGCAGAGTTAAAATTCTATTTTATAAATGGGTATGAAGGCCTAAAAGTGATAATTAAGGCATTTGTATGTGACGCACCAGCCAGAGCATTTTTAAAATGTATAAAAAGTCATAGTGGATATGACAGTTGTGAAAGATGTGAAGAACATGGTGAGTATCATAAAGGTATAAGATTGTTAGGTACCAAGTCTTTAATACGAGATGATAAAAAGTTTAAAGAAAAATTTTATTCAGAGCACCAGATTGGTAAACCACCATTATCGAAACTTGAAATTCCGATAGTGACTGGATTTGTACTTGACTACATGCATTTAGTTTGTCTAGGGGTTACAAAAAAACTTATGAAGAATTATATTAACAATATAGGTTCCTCTGTTAACAGCAATATTTCTTCAGAGTTGCTCGAAATAAGAAAATGCGCACCAAGAGACTTTCAAGGTTGGCCCAGAAGTTTGGATGAATTTTCTGATTTTAAAGCAACTGAATTTCGCTTTTTTTATTATATGCAGGAATCGTAGTTATGAAAGGCAAAATATCGCATGATGAATATAAACTTTTATTGGCTATATAAGTTGCTATGCACATTCTTTTCTCTGAGACAATGGTTAAAGATAACTCAATGGTTTGTTACTGTAAGAATTTGTTAGAATGGTTTACAACCAAATCAATTGTTTTTTATGGACCATTGTTTGCATCTTATAACGTGCACAGTATTATTCATTTAGCTGATGATGTTATAAATCACAAAGTATCTTTAAATAAAATATCTGCATTTCCTTTTGAAAATTACCTTGGAAAAATTAAAAGAATGATTCATAGTGGTACATATACAGTTGCTCAAGTTGTTAAAAGGCTTGATGAACATAGTAAAGTTGTACATCTATTACCAGCAAAAAGATCAGTGATCTTTAATACAAATTTTAGAAATAGAGTTTATTATATCAGCAAAATAGGTTTTGTAATTGTTGAGAAAGTTGTAAAAAACAAATATTTTTGTAAATTGTTTAAATTTTCGAAACTAACAAATTTTTTTGAAAGTCCTTTACCAAGTTCAGTCATCCATATTTACCATTTAACAACTTTGTCATATTGCAAGAAAATTGAATTGGAACAGAATGCATTGCAACATAAAGCCATTATAATGGCTTATGATAAAGGAGGCTATGTACTTATTCCTCTTCTTCATTGTGACCTTAATGACAATTTTACAAATCTCCAATTTTGATTATTACTTTTACACATTTGATCTCAATTATATTTGAAGTAAATTTTTTTTTTGTTCAACATCTTTGTTTCCAACAAGACTGCAAGCAACCACTGACCACTGTTAGAGTATTATTAGCAGTATTATAAAACAACCACTATTAGCATTGGAAGTTACTGGATCAGAGAAAAGATGAGGTTTATAGAGCAAAATAATGACTTACAGACAACTTAGAAAATTGCAAATTATATAAATCAGTAAAGCAAGATGAAGGTACCAAATTCCAAAGAACAGATGTTTGAAAAAAAACTAGGCGAAAAAGAGTTTTTAGAGCACATAGAACAGTCACAGAGAAAGGATGAGACCTAATTGAGTGACGAGTAACACGAGAATGAATTTTAGTAGATGGCACAAGAGACACTAGCTCTTTAGAGCAGTACTCGTTATAGTATTTGTAGAAAAGAGAAAGAAAAGCAACATTACGACAATTCGATAAAACTATGTTTGCAATGCATTTTTGCACCTTGTCTATAAAAAAAGGGCATCATTGGAAAATTCGCCCAAGGTATGGCAACAGTATTCCATACAAGGATTGATTTGAGATTTATAGAGATAAAGATTAGAATCTGGAGTAAGAAAGTTTTGAGCATGATAAAGAGACGCAACCTGAGCAGATGTTAATTTTGCAGGTGGATTTAATATATGGTTTCTAAATTAATTTTATAATGATTTTACTCTTAAATTTTTATACAAAGTAGCATAACAAAATAAGTGAAATTTTTTATTTTTATGATAACTGTTGTTTAAAATGACTTTCTTATTATATATATATATATATATATATATATATATATATATATATATATATATATATATATATATATATATATATATATATATATATATATATATATATATATATATATATATATGTATGTATATATATGTATCTATATATATATATATATATATATATATATATGTATATATATATATATATATATATATATATATATATATATATATATATATATATATATATATATGTATGTATATATATATATATATATATGTATGTATATATATATGCTGTGTATACTCAATGCATATGTTAAGTCACAATTTCCTAATAACATTTTGCACTCTTAAGGTAAAAGTATGCGCTTTAAATTTTCAGAAAAAGGAAAAAAAAACAAAGAATAGTGAAAGAAAAGATAGCTGCCCCTGCCAAACCCTCAGTCGATGTATTAGCACTCCAATTCAGGTCAGGCTATTTGACAGTAAATGGATATACTAAAGCACACGCAACTTCTATATATAAAATTATGAACTCTATATATATATATATATATATATATATATATATATATAATATATATATATATATATATATATATATATATATATATATATATATATATATATATATATATATATATATATATACATATATATATATATATATATATATATATATATATATATATATATATATATATATATATATATATACATATATATATATATATATATATATAATATATATATATATATATATATATATATATATATATATATATATATATATATATATATATATATATATATATATATATATATATATATATATATATATATATATATATATATATATATATATATATATATATATATATATATATATATATATATATATATATATATATATACAGTTTACAACTTACTTATCGCCTCATAATTTTACTTTTACTTTTGTTTTATTTTTCTTATGATGAAAATGTTTAATTATATTATTCACTTTATATTTTTTTATCAATACCTGTTTAATACTGTTCCCAAATATGTATATATAAATAATTGTATATAATAATAAAAATATTGGTTTATTTTAATTATTGTAATTACTTTTTTGTTATTGTTCTAGCTGTTAATTATTTATTACTTATAATTTCAGCTTTTATTTTTAAATTTAAAAAAATGGATAATTTTGTTAAAGTGAAACGGCTTGAACCTCCATATTCCATTGAATATGGAACAATTCCTTCAAATTGGATTGAAGAAAAAAATGATAGCTTTTTGGTGTGCTGGCTTCCAGTTCCTAATGTGAAGCCATTAATTTTAAAAAGGCAACTACCAAAAAAAGACTGGTTCAGGTTTATTTTGTTGAAGAAATATGGAAGTGGAAGTAAGTTTAAGTCATGTTAAACTTTTATGAAACAACTATCTATATTTTATAGTATTTGCATTTTCATGTTTTATTTTTTTTTTATTTTAGGCAGTTTTTCTGAATGTGAGCTTGTCCCCTCAGCCATTGATACGAACGAAGATACAGATGATGATAATCTTTCCAAGCCAAAATGTCGAACAGCTTTACCATATTTTATGAGTGATTCTGATGATTTGGGTTGTTTAAGTTACTTTACTTTATTTTGTTTGGTATTATACTAAAAGATTTTTTTGACGTATCAGCAAAATTTGTAAAACAAGTATATTGTTGATTATAGATAATAATGTTGCTTACAATCAACTAAAAAGGCCTAAATTGGTTTGCAGCAGTGATGAAGAGCATGAGACCGTAGTCGACAAGTTTCCGTTACTTCCACCATCACTACAAAAATGTTCTTTACTTTATCTTTATTTAAAAATTTATACTTATAAACTTTTTTTTTGTTGTGTAGTCAATACTGTTATATACATTTTTCTTCTTTGAGACAAATTTTTTAGACTTTGATATTGCAAATAATATTCTTTAAAACACTGAACTTAAATTTAGTAAGATCAATGATTATTATTTGTTATGCTAACAAAGATTTTTGCAGGACTTTACAATATACATCTAAAGTATATCAGATATGTTTTAATTAGTTTATTTTTGCAGATATTTTAAAGTGTAGTTTTCTATCATTAAATTTAAGTTTATTTCTTTTTGAAGTGCCTTCAAATCTGAATTTGATTGATAAAAAGAAGCGGAGAATCGATATGGAGATTGATCCAGTATCCCAAACTAAAGTACCATCGTCTCAATCTTATCTCCTGCAGCATAACACAAGCAATAGTACAGTTTTATTCTTTATATATATTGGATATTAATTTCTCATATAATTTGTGTATATAAATAAACAAAGATTTTCATTGCAGGTTGCAGCAGTAAATCTTTGGATGACATAGATAGTACACCCACTGTATCACAAGATGGTATAGTTAAACTTTAAATTTAAATTTTTAAGCTTTTATACAAAACAATTAATTAAACCAATAACAATAATAATAATTTTCTTTGTACAAACATTTTGACACTGGATTTTTCATAATACTCTGGGACTTTTTTATTTTATATATAATATAATATCTGATATTATATTATATATAAAATAAAAAAGTCCCAACCAGAGCATTATGAAAAATGTTTGTACCAAGAAAATTCCTAATTAAATACCAAGAAAGCTTGTTATTAGTTTAGTTGATAATTAATATAAATTTATTATTTTAATAAATAAATCTAACTTACATGCTTACTAATATTAATTTATATATATATACATATATATATATATATATATATATATATATATATATATATATATATATATATATATATATATATATATATATATATATATATATATATATATATATATATATATATATATATATATATATATATATATATATATATATATATATATATATATATATATATATATATATAAAGAAATAACTTGTTCATTTGTTTACTGTTTTATATTGAACTTTATTAATTTATTTCAAAAAGAATTTTTAGGAGTAGTTTGAGAGAGTAAAGCTTAACACCTGCTTTTAATATATGCTTCAGTATTAGGCTAAAAATTGTTGTATTGTTAAAACTAGTTTTTAAATCCTCTTGTATTTGATAAAATAAAAAAATTATTTACTTGAAAGATATCCATTACTAGACTTTAATAATGTAAATTTTGTAATTTAAAGTTTTTTTTTTTTTAGTTTTCCAGAAAAATGTGATGAAAGTTTTAAAAAATATAAAAAAAGATTTATATGATATTAAGGAGACCCAAAAAGATCTTTTAGAAAAATTTTCAGTTCTGCAGCATAAAAGGATAGATAATGATAATACGTTTGTCTTAATTACAATTGACAATGTTGAGGATTTGGGGAAGTTAGAAAGTAAATTAGAAGACAAAAATATATATTTGCAGCTGGTATGTTCACTCGTATATTTTATCAAAATTTGTTATTATTTATAACACATAATTTATAACACTGTATTAGTCAGTCAGTTAAAAAACTAGTTCAAGCTAAGATATTTTTTTAAATTTCAAATACATATAATGTTAATTAATAATATCATATTTGTATATATATATATATATATATATATATATATATATATATATATATATATATATATATATATATATATATATATATATATATATATATATATATATATATATATATATATATATGTATATATAATAATATCATATATATATATATAATATCATATAATATCATAAATAATAATATCATGTTAATTAGTAATATCATATTGTATTGCTTTTAGTTTGTTACAGGTAGGTAAAGTTCACTGTTTTTTTTGCAGTAGTATTTAACCAAATAGTGAAAAGTAAACAGCGATAGATGCAAGAATTCACAGTAGAGGTGTGGAATGAGTTTAAACTTATTCAAAAATTCATGAAAATCCAATAAAAATATTGTTGTAAATGTCTTTTACATCTCAAGACACCTTTGTTTTGTTTCCATAGCAATTTGATATAGTATTTTCAAGATTTTTGCTTCTTATTTTGATGCTTTAAACATTCTGATAGAGGGGGATGCATCCCCCTAGAATTTTTACTGGTTACTAAATATATCATGTTACTATATATAATAAATTATTATTACAGGTGGCAGTTTCAGCTCGTGCTTGTGGCATCCACCCTAAAAAAAGTATCTATGAAGCAATGAATAAACTTTTAACTAAAGATGTTGCTTCGAAATATAATATAACGGGCACTGCCCAGAAGAGTAATTTTTGCACGGAATTCAAAAATATTTATTCAGCCATTATAGGTATATATACAAAGGAACAAGTTTACACTTCATATTTTAATAAATGTGACTAAGTCATGTTTTAAATATACAAAGGTGTTTCAATTTCATGGTTTAAAGTTCTGTATCTTTTTTTATTTAGAGGCAGTTAGTAGTCAGCATGCTGACACCAAAGATATTCAACTCCACAGTTTTATTGGAGAGTACTTGCGACAGGCTGATGTCTTGAATATCCGGAACGAGAAGAAAAATATTGAAAATCAAAATAAAACTTTATAAAAAAAAAATTTTCTTATACTGATAAAAATATTTGTTCAACTGCTGTTTTGTAACTTTATAAATAAACAAAATCTTCTTACTTTTGTTGTTTACATTATTTCAGTTTGAAAAACTGATTTATGTCTTTTATTATTTTTGTTAATTTGTTTATGAAGTATCATCGTACTCTAATGAAAAAATATTGTTAAAATATTTCTTTCTAAATTTTATCAAAGTTCAATATTTTTTTTTAGATGCAGTCAATAGCATGAAAATGTAAAAGATTATGAAAACTAAATAATCAACATAATATTTCTTTTGTATATGTTTGTATTATTTTAGAAATAGAATATCAGAAGTCTAACTGTAGTTTTATTAAAAACGAATTAATGATTATTTTTAAATATATTAATTATCGCAATCCCTGCAAACACTAAAATTTGGCGTTCAAATAATTATTTATAAATATTACTTAAATATATCATAAATGATATATAATAAGTACTTTATCACTATTAACAATAAGTAATCGCAAATAAATAACGAGTGCATCGGCGTTAAATCAACAGTGATCATCTTTATGTACTTACTATTAATAAACCACCACTCAATCACAGTAATACAAAGTTTACAAAATCACCATTGAATAAGTACTTAATCACCGCTTACGATTAGTATTGAATCACTACTAAATCAATAGTGTATCGCTGTTAAATCAGCGGTGATAGTCACTACTTAATCACTAGTAACAAATCACCACTCAATCACTAGTGATAAAAAGTTTACAAAACCATCGTTTAGTAAGTACTTAATCACCACTTACAATAAGTATTGAATCACTACTAAATCACTAGTGATGCGCGCATAGGGTTGTTACTACGGCTGCTTTTGAAAGAGCCTCTACACCTAGTTATAAAACGTGGTTAAACGGATCAAAATCTATATTGCAAGGTAACAACATTAACGAATTAGTATTTTATTGCACTTTGCTCAACGGACAATTTATTCGTCAAAACAAAAGTGACGGTTCTGTCATAAATTTTTGGTCTAACAGTTTACCTTTAAAAAACATTATTTTAAAAATGTATTAACCCATTGGAAACAATCCTGTACCTTATACTTTGCAATTACAAAGAGATCAATACAGTTTGACAAACGAAATTAATTCGTTTAATATAGAAATAGATCAAAATATGGATTATACCATGGCTCAAGATTTTAAAATTCAAAAAAGAAAACTCGCTTTTTTAAGATGTACTTTAATGCAAATAAGTAACTTTAATAATTCTGTATCTAATTTTCCGACTACTACCGACAACCTTATATTTATTAAATGTGATCAAGCTACCAATTGCGGAATGTATCGAAAATCGAAAAACAGAAATACAACGACAATTGACAACGTTTGATATTGTAGACGTAGAAGATTGGAAAAAAAAAGGACTTTTTTTAACACTTTTAAAGAACCGCTCAAATTTAACTATTTATGTACCACTGTTTTTTTTAATCCTACTTTCAAAATACAAATAATACCATTTTATAATTAGTTTTTAAAAAAATGTTAAAAGAAATGGATCGATTGGATTGTTATTGTCTTTGTTGTAATAAAACAAAGTTTTACAAGATAAAAAAACAAATGGAAAAAATGAATGAGGATGTTCAATCACAAATACAATTGATGCAATACGAAACGTTCAAGTTAAAAGAAATGATTAAAAATCAAAAAGAAGAAATACAAAGGATTTCTAATGAACTGCTTTAAAAAACAAACAACTAGAATTAACGTTATGAAAATAAAGAACTTGACCTTTTACATTTGTATAAAACAAAGTGTTTTAATTTGATTACTATAGTTTTTGTTATAAAAAAATGTATTTAAAAAAAAAAATAATAAAGTATAAAAAAAATGTCTCTTGTTCGAGCAAGAGGAAGATATGAAAAAAATTTAATAAACGAGAAAATACGGGAATCTTTAAAAAATCCGCAAAGTCTAATCAATGAAATTCAAAAATAATTTTATAATCTTCAAAATCAATTATCTCATTTTTCAACTAAAGCAGACGTTCTTAATAAAAAATCAGAATTGGATGAAAAATGTGAACAATTAAAAAAATTCAAACACCAACAAAAAGAGCAAGACTTTTATGAAGAAAAACCTCAACGTAAAAAAAATATTGTTAAAAAAAAAAAAGAAATTGAAAAACCAAAACGTAAAAAAGTAAAATATTCAGAAGAAGAAAGCGGAAGTTCTGAAAAAGAATATGTTGAAAAAAAACCATCAGAAACTAATGTTACGTTAAATTCACACGTATGTGCTCAATGTGTTCAAGAAGTTAAAGCTGTAGACGCTATACATAGTTTATGCAGAAATTGTATTATACAACAAAGAGCTATTTTATCCAGTCCTTTTATGCAAAATAACATTGAAAAAAAAAAACAAAAAAGAAAAAATAAATAAAAAAAGTTTAATTGAACTTGGTTACACGCGACCTTTAAAAGATGTTAAAAACAAAAAATTACCATTTAAAAAAAATATTCCGACTCGGAAAATGAATAAATAGAAATAAAAAATATTAAAAAAAATTTTTTCATTTTTTTTTAATAATAAAAAAATATTATATTAAGATGGTTTCTCTAGCAAAATATATAAGAGCGGGAGATGGTAACCGTTATACGCCTAACCATAACGGACCCGCTACCATTGATGACGTTTTACAAAAAGCAGAAAAAGAAAATCGTCTTTTGCAAGATGCTACAAGCGGTAGCCTTAGTGAAGAAATGAAAGAAGCGTTAAACGAAAAATAACCTGCCTTTATGACTGCTGTAGCTCAAGACGAAGTCAACAAAACCGATTATCAAAAATTTACTCCTGATTTAATTTCTGAATTAAAAAGTTTAATTACGTTTACTATGAAACTCAACGAATGGACAATACCGGAAGCTTATATTATCGAATTTGATGTCTATTTATTTAAAAACATAAACACAAAAACAAGATTTGCTACAACGGCAAATCACGCAGACCTTGAATTAATAGAACTATTTTGTTTAGTAGAAGGTTTTGTTTTTCATTTATACAAAAATATAAGAGCATATTCAAATTATCAAAAAAATAAATCTATGCCTGCTAATAACGTTATAAATAATCAAGCTTACCAACGATTTAAAACAATGTTTGTTAAAAAGAGTTATATGAAAGTATATAGAGAGCACATGCTTAATCATAATTTAGCATTTACAGAAAAAACAGATGACAGACTAACTTGGGTTGAAACAAGAGATCTTATGAAATCTAACGATGCTAATGCAGTCATAAGAGCAAAGAATAGTAACAAAAAACCTGATTATCAAACATTTCTAAAAGATACCTATAATTCTTTGATGAACGGAGACAAAGGTTATCGTTTTAGAGTACCTTTTTTTTGTTATGTGAATTTTTTCAAATTAAAAAATTATGGAAAAGGTAAAGAATTAAAAATTGAATTTACTGTTGAACAAGATACTTATCAACTTTTAGAATATATAAGACCTATAACTGATGCTCAAATAGAATCTTTAGCTAATGTTGGATTAGAAATTAGAAATCCTGCAATTTGGGCCAATACTTACCGAATAAAAGCTAGTTTACCTTTAGAAAAATCATTATATATAAATGCTTTCCCAGATCAACCTTTTACTATAGCACGTTTTGCTCATTACGAACAAGTTATAACTAACGTAGAAGGTACAGATACCGTTACCATAAGCTTAGGAAATATAAAAACAGCTGACATGGTACCTCATTGTGTTTTAATTTCTGTTCAATCAAAAAAAGAAAGCGACCATCTTACTAAAACTTTTATGACACCCGTTGAAATGGCTTGCACTATGATTAAAAATATTACTTTTCATAATTTTAGAAGAATTTTTGCCAATTCTTCAGGTGACACTTATGTAATTGATTTAGAAAAAAAAGTAGAAGATCAACAATTATGTTATCGTAGTTATGTTTCTTGGTGTAAAGGAAATACACTTTCTACTCTTAATATTAATAATTTTGCAGATTTTTATTCAAATGACGATAACAGTTTTATTAGAAATCCTAATGATTATTTCAGTCACACGCGTAACATAACAGAACCTTTAGCTATTGACACCACTAGCGATTATAATTATGTTAACGACAAACCTCCGGCTACCATTCAAGGAAACAATTCGTTAGAAATTACCGTTGATTTTGTTACGAGTTTCAACGGTCTCATAACTCTGTACCTCTAACATGCAGCACAACTGATTCAAGCTGGAACAGGAGAAGACGAAAATTACACATATTATCCTTTTAAATCTAAATCATCATAACACCTTTTACAACATTTTTATTTTAGTTAAATTTACCATGTTTTAATTGTATTTTTTATGCACGCACGACTATTTAATTTTAAAAAATATATAAAAAAACATTTATATTTGTTCTTTCTCAAAACTTATTATATGGCGCGAAGACGTTATCGTAAAAGAAGTGGTCGCAAAATCGAGGTAAAGGAAAAATTATAACTAAAGTTAAAAATCTTGCCAGACGTTTACTTCGATCAGACGTAAACGTCTGATCGAAGTAAACGTCTTAAAACAACGTAATGTATAGATTGTGTAGATGTAGAACAAAAAGAATTCATAAAAGACGAGGAAAAGGAAGAGTTTATTTACCTCCGTTAAAAGGAGCCGGTAGAAGGAAACGAATACGCGGTAAGTGTAGATGTAGAAAAAAAGAATTCATAAAAGACGAGGAAAAGGAAGAGTTTATTTACCTCCGTTAAAAGGAACCGGTAGAAGGAAACGAATACGCGGTAAGTTTCCTCCGATATTAGGCTCTTTATTGGGAGGTAGTTTACTATCTTCTATAATACGTTAAAAAAAACACTTGTTCAAAAAAAATTATTTTTAAAATGCGTAAAAGACTAAGAGGAAAAAGACATAAAAGACGTT